AAAACCTCGAGTCGCTGGGAAGCAAGCATAACTGGGATCACATCACGAATCAGGTACGTCTCAGCCGTCCGCGGAGCCAAGAGAAGATAGCTCTAACCCACTGATATAAATGAGAGCTCGGACACTGACAGTTATGCTTCTAGATTGGCATGTTTGCCTACACCGGCCTGACGGCCGAGCAGATGGATAAGTTGGCCAAAGAGCACTCTGTGTACGCGACCAAGGATGGACGTATCTCCGTGGCGGGCATTACCACCGACAACGTCAAGAGATTGGCAGAGTCGATCTTCAAGGTGACTGGTTAAACTTGGTTCCAATGACACCTCTCTGTGTTTTAATACGAGCATGCAAGGGGTTTTGGGTCAAGAGCGAATACTCTCCAAGACTACCAGCCAGCAATACTCGGCTATCTAGCACAGGAAGCCATTGCTGACGATCTTGCTGGTGAGTGTTTAAGCCAGTTGGGGTGGAGATTTTGTGGTTTTTTGTTAGCGTATCGATCTGCACGTTCCGACTTCACACCAGGCACCATGTATCAAAACCGAGGGCGGCATCCGGAGATAGATAGAATGGGGGCGGCCAAAACTCTCCATAGATTTGAGCAAAGCACAGAAAGAATGTTGAACGTGGAAGATTCATTATGCGATTTTATCTTTCCGTGTCTCTAACCGTGTACCTCGGGGAAGTGGTTTTGATTGAGATGCTGTTTGATTAGGTGCAAACAGGAGAGGGGAGGGAAGCAGGAAATCGACCGAATGCAGCATGCACCATATCCATCCCTTTGGACGCCTGCGTAGGATAGTTTTCAGGTACGTAGAAGGGTATGTACATGTATATGTACACATGGGTACCCCGTAGAAGAATGCATATGCATTATGTATCTACGTTCTGCATGTATGCCATGTAGGTATGTAGGTGGGTATCTACCAAGTACATTTGTGACGAACCGGGACGAAACTCTTCTCATCACCCCCATCCCTTCTATATTCTCCTTGGGTACTGGAGTGTACATAACACATTATGTCGATATCTAAAGAAAGCGGACAGACACACAGACAAAAGCGAAGAGAGAAAAAGGGAAGGGCGAAGGTTCACTAATTAATTAATTGATCGGATCCCCGAAACAGCCAATAATAAATGGAAAAGGGGACCCAGCACCAGGACCACGAGCACGGCTTGGGGCTCAAGGGTTGACGATGTCCAAGGTCCCAGAACAGCGGCACCGGCACCGGCACGGCCACCGGTATCAGCATTAGCACAAGTGCACGGTTGAGAGTGGGTGGAGAGGGTTCAACTTCACAGTAAGAATAATAAAGCATCTTGGGAGACCTTGGGATCTCTTTCAGCGCGACCATCTATGAATCTGGGCGCTGGGGTGGGAGAATGAATACACAAGCACACGGAGGTGAGTACCTCGTACCCGATCGATATCGATGCGTTGCTTCTATTCCTTGGATGTTTAATGTTTTCTTCTCGTAAAGTAAGCGAGATGGAAATAATATACTGTGCTCGGTACCTCGTACCTTGTCGATTGTTCCCCTAAATGGGTTTGACGAGGAGGTGCCCAGATAGGATGTGTTGAAAAAAAGGGAGTTTGGCCGCATTTGGCCCGCCTCGATCTCCCTCTCTCTCTCTCTCTCTCTCTATGCACGCTATCACCGCTGGCCATGTGGGCAACATGTGGGTAGCATGCAAACTAAAAAGAAACTATATCCCGGATCCCCCTTTGCTCCAAGAGGCCGACCGACCCCCCTTATACCACCACCCGTTCAGACATCCACCAGACACCCGTTCTGGGAGGGGGGAAACCATTTACTGGGTCTTCCGGGAGAGATTTCCAACGGCTCAGACAAAGTCTTTTCGTTTACTGTTTGCTGCTCGGTGCCGCTAGCCTCACCGCTGAACGCCTCCACGTCTCTTGTGTTCGCTTCTTGTTGCTCAATAATTGCTCGCGATCCGAGATCTCCCCAGGCTGGCAGAGGCTGGCAGGGTCGCGGGTGCAGGCGGTTCCCGCCGCAGCGGAGGGCCGTTTCACTACGATGAACATTTCGAATGCTCGTGTCATTGGAGAGGGGTTGAATCAGTTGACCTTTTGTTCGTATAGTATTCTCTCACCAGCAACCACCAAACAAAGCCCAGACAAATGCCGGTCAAACTGCGTTGGGAAGTCGAGGTAAGGTGGGGAGAGCCGCTGCTTGCTCCCGAACATGTCGTTTGGGCCCTTACTCCCCCAACCGAGTGGGAAGACCAAGAGTGTGTTCCAGTGGCGCCAGTGCTAGGCTCTGGCGTGATGGCAGCCGAATGGGCGCCCACCTGCGGGTTGACATCATTGGCTTTGTGGCCTCTTCGCCTACCTATCGGCGCGCCTCTGCTTTGCTTTTTCGTCTTTCTCTTGCAGCTTCAGCGGCCGCGTGGGCTGCACGAAAAGGGGACCAATCAAGCCTATTTCAGCGCTTAGTTGACCCCTTGGACAAATACTTCTGCTCTATAAAGTCGTTGAGGCCCTCCTGTGTTGCTGCCCCGAGACTGGTGACTTGTGCTCGTCTGCACTCCGTATGTGCGACACCGATGGGACCCTGAACGCTTATCGACGTCATCGCGCAGGTTCGAGTTGAGGCAAAATATTTTACGTCCAAGGAGGCAGCGTAGCAGCAAAATTCGAGGGGACAGGGTGATTCGGAAAACGAGGGGCAAACAGGCCTCGAGGGACCTCCACAGTAATGGCAACTAGCTGGAGCAGGTGGCCTCCTCCGTTGATTTTTGGATTGCATGCACCGTAGACAGGCGGACTGAACACTCACCAGAGGGATGAAATTGTAGTTGCACAGGGCATGCCGTCAGCTTTCCCAATTCATGGCGTATCAGTGTCGATCTGCCGTCTTCCTGGCCGGTAAACCGACTGTTTCGGGAATGGACCCAACTGTGCGGCTGCTCGTTGGCTCAAGCGTTCTGGGGAGTCTAAATATGCTCCTGCAGGATAAGAGAGGACTTGTCTTGTTTCCCAGCTGGAGTGGCAGAAGACTGGAGAGTGAGTGAAAGCATTCCACCTTCCGAAGTCCGCTAAAAAGTGGTGGTGCTGGGTGCGATTGGGGAACCACAAATAGTCACCTCATCTCTTGAGTCACTTGTTCTCCGTCAAGCAGGGTATTCCCCACGCGACGAGCCACCCGTCAGCTTACCGAGCCCAAGATACGAGTAGCTGGCTGGTGGCTGGAAAGGACGGGATGTGGTGGTATCGCCGATGTCTGTTTGAGGGTAAGAGAGAGTTGATACGTAGGTAGAAGCCGTGGGAGTGGTATCTAAGGGAGGTACCGATGGAGGGATCGAGGGAGGTGAGGAGTGAGCAAAGGGTCTCGTTGGAAATCGGAACGAGAGTAGAATGAATAATGGGTCTCGAGACGGGGACTGACTGGTGGTGGGATGGCGGGTATCCTAGGTAGGCCGTGGTTCTCTTGCGTGCCGTATCTCTCTACCTCTCTCTTGATACCCACGGGCTCCAGTTTTGTTCCTTGCGCTGTCCTTAGCCCATTGAGGTGTTGAAAATCCCTTCAGCCTCGAACTGGTCCATCATAGAGTAGGCTCCAAAGTCGCCAAGCAGACAAACTCGTCCCCAGATTTTATTCCCTTTACCTCAAGCTCCCTTGTCGAAACCATCTCTTCCAGAACGAGCGTCCAGGTATACGACAAGGTCGCTTCACACCCTTCGGACACGGTCGAGTTTCAGGGTCCTACTTTCTTCCTTCTTGTTCCATTCGTGTCTTTTTGGCCGCGTCCGAGTGTGAAGTGGGATTGCGCTTGGCCCCCGCTTGTCTTTGGGACGACTTGACGCTTTTGGTGGTTGATCTGCGCTGCCGGACGGAGATCTTGGGCTCGGTTGCTCGCGAGACAAAACGCATATCGCAGGCCAGCATCGCAGGAAGTAGCCGGTTGACCCGAGTTTCGCGCAAGAGAGCAGGGCCTGAGGTACGTTAGCAGCAGTCTTTTTGCCCCTCCCAGTTGGTCCAGGGGTGGTGCATTTTCAATCGCAGTTTGGTGCATGGGTGCGTAGGATTGGATTTTTTTTTTTCTCGAAGGGACATTGACCCCCTTCACCACATCGGTAGCCCCGCCCCTTGGGAAAAAAAAGCTGAGAGAAAACAAGAGCCCCGTCAGATCTGTTCCTGATATCATTTTGCAGGCCCAGTGCTGTTCAGCCTCAAGCAAACTTGCCGGCTTCTGGTGAGGGTAATCCAAGGGACATTTTTTCGAATGAGATTTGGTGGCTCTCCCGCTCTCCCGCCCTCGCCGCAGACTTGAGCACCTCTCATTTCGGCAGAGCGAGTTGATTGAGCTTCAGGATCAGCAATTCATCGACAAAGACGTCCGACGTACGTCACTTCCCACTGGTCGAGCGGTTTCAAAATTCGTCAATTCGGCTTCCCAATTCACTGCAGGCAATCGTCTGTCGACAACACCTCGTAGCATTTTTGTACAACTGCAGTGTTACTTCCATCTACAATCTTGACGTTGGATTCCCGAAGGAGTTGATCCGTTGCTGAGATCTGATTACCAAAAGTCTTCGGCTCCCGCACATCCTGGTTGCCTCTTGCATTTTACTCTCCTGTTTACCTTTTGCCCTCTGTGGGATTCTGAGGTCGGTTGAACCCGCTGCACATACTTTAGGGGTCTTGTGACGCCAACCAGCACGAGGGTTTTGAGTCTCGATCTGACCATCCTGCCATCTTGGTAAACCGCTGACACCATGTCTGCAGACAGACTATTCCCACCAGCGTCCTATCTGTTATCCTTATCTTCACCTCTGACTCCGCATCATCAACATCAACGACACCATCGTCACCCTGGTTGCCATCCCCAGACACGCCTGCGACGGATTTTTGCAAGGATACCCTACAAAGCGGCGAGTGAGATTGTGACGCTCCTATTAGCCAAGGGCTCGCCCACCACCTCGAACCAGTCTGCATCCTACCCACAGACTCCTCGTTTCGCATCCACGTAACGCCATGTCTGAGGAAGTAAGTACGACAGGGAAATAGCGACGACCTATTCCGGGGGCAGGGGGCTGAAAAGCATCGTGAACCTGCCATGGCTGACGTGTTGGCTCGCAACAGATCGAATTCGACTTCGGCGATAATGTCGAGAAGAGCACATTTGAACAGATTCTCGACATGGACGAGGAAGATGATCGAGACTTTTCAAAGTCAATAGTCTTTGGATTTTTAGAGCAAGCAGAGCAGACTTTTGGCAAAATGGACACTGCCATGTGAGTCTCTGCATGCCGGCTGCCGATGGTCAACGTCTCGCTGCATGCGTTCAGGGTGTAACTGACCCATGTTTTCCAACAGGAAAGAAAAAGACCTCGCCGAGCTTTCCAGCCTGGGTCACTTTCTCAAAGGCTCGTCTGCGACATTGGGCTTCACAAAGGTCAAGGATGAATGTGAGAAAATTCAACACTATGGTCACAAGAAAAACGAGACCGGCGAAGTGGATGAACCAGATGAAGACAAGTGCCTGAGACTCATTGGCGAAAGTCTTGCTGAGGCTAAACGAGCTTACGAGGTCGTCAATAGCCTGATGAAGCAGTTCTACGCCGAACCCTGACGAAAATTTGGTTTCCCGGGATCAACGTTCCTGCGCACGAGCACTGGCATCACCACCTGGTTCTATGTTTCAACGAGAGAAATCTGGGATCTGGACCACCAGCTGGTATGTCTACGGAGCCGAACGAGACTGCGGCACTCTTTCGCAACTCTATGACTCGAAGTGCCAGCTATGGAATCGACCCAATCACCTTTCAAGACTCCTCTTTACATACGGCATGCGTTTAGACTGCAAGATATGATGGCTTGTTTGATTTCATTTGGGACGGGGAGGGAATTGGGCATCGTTCGTCATCGAACTGAGGACTGACAGAACAGAAATTCTTGCACGAACTGTTCGGGGTTATGCGCCCACGAACGGATACATAGTAACCCCTTTCACCATTCCCCTTTCTCTTGAGGCAATCTTCTTTGCTCCTATTTTCGTCTCCTAACGCTGTCTTTGACTAATCATGCAGTCACAGTTCTCTTGTCTTTTTTTGCCTCCACATCGATATTGGGTTGCACTCGCGGTGTTCGGCGACAGTGTTACATGGTGAGCGACAGAATCCAAACCGACTTCCTTCGCCGCTGGCTATGCTGGTCCTCCTGATTCGCGCGCTGCAAGGAGAATCGTTGTCGCTAGTTTCGTCCACTGCACCACCGTACCAAACTGGCTATCAAGCTCAGACACAACGCGAACAAGGGACACCATAGAGAGCAAGATATCTGCCTCCGGCATAATGAGAACAGTAAGAGAGGTGCAGGGTACAGGGCGAAAAGGGTAACAGCCGATGCCAGACGCCGGATCTGCTAAGCAGTTGGACACCCGTAACACACAGGAATCATGATCCATCACAGCCTGTGGCTTCATTTATCCTCTCGACACCGCGGTTGTTGAAATGCAGTGCTGCCACTATCAGTTGGGAGCAGTTGCATCTCTCACAAGGTGTCATGATGCGTGCGACACAGCGAGGACAGGGTGTTCAATATTCTTGAATTACCTCGGTTGATCACCAGAAAGCGTTCCATTGTCGGGTGGCTCGGTTGGAGGACATGCGGCTTGTCGCCGAAGAAAGTCTACACGATAGTAACATGTCCGACAACGGGTTGGAGATGCGAGCCATATCCACGTCTTCTGACACCAGCTCTGCGGTTCCAGTGGTGAGGCGTCGGGATCAATGCGCTGTTCGTGGGTGTGAGTCGAGTGATGGCGCATGTGAGGGATGTCTGTGGCGATGGCACTGGAACGACGCTGGATGTTGGAATTTGACCTTGCGCTCTGGCAGCAGCAGTCGAGGCCGCGCTCACACCATTCTGAATGATATCATTGCTGGGCTGGTCGTGCAGATATGCGTGTTCCAACGTTGTCCTCAGAGTTTGTGACTGCCACCTGTCGGCCCGGTGCCCTGTTCGCCCCCATGTTGCGCATTGGAGGGTGGGAATCTCCATCTCTATCTCAGAGGCTGTGGCTTTGCTGGCACTGATGTCGTCGTGCAGCCAAGAATTCGGCAACAGGGGTACTTGTTGATGCCTACTTTCAAAAGGACAAGTACCTTTTTGGGCCAAGGGGTGTTCGATGATACTCGCACCTGCGGCTCTGCTGGACATCGGGGAAGCTGGAGTAGAGGCGCGAAAAGAAGATATCGAACTTTCGTTCTCCCAGTTGTTCTGACTTGGTGGTGAGGAGAAGGCTGACGAAGACTGCCTCGTTATACCACCATCTTGAGACTCGCCGATGCCACGATACTCCTCTGGGATTGGGCTGTTGTCTTCCTCGTCGCCGGAGTATGCACGTGCCTCTGTCGGCGTCGAATGGCCACGAGACTGAGACTGAGACTGAGACTGAGACGGTGCCCGAGACATGACGGGGATGATGTGACTGTCGCTTGTCGCCGCAGATACAGAGAGTTCCTCCGGAAGGACACCCGCTTCTGCACCATCGCCGCGGCTTGCGCTCCTCCTCTCTTGTGCCCGAAACGCCAATTCGGCAAAGAGTCCAGCGAATCGACTTCGTCTCCGGCGGTTTCGATACTGGATCGCCAGGCTTGGGGACTCCATCAGCGTCGTCATTCCTCCGCGCCTCTCAGATCCCCGGCCGCCGTTGCTTGTGAAGTGCAATGAGGGTTACCGAACAGAATAGAGCTCCGCTAGAGCAGAGAGAGATGGGGAGGAGAGAGGCGGTCTTTCTCGTGACGACTGGTATACGAAATGGAGGGGTAGTTGGGTTGGTGGACGAAGAAAAATGGGAGCGACGATATCCGTGGGCCAACGAGAGAAGAACGATCGGGTCTTTTAGAATATTGATTGAAGAGAGAGTCTTCTTGAAGCAAAGGAACGAGATTGTTTGCACGAGGAGAAAAGGGGGCTGGCTATATTGTATATTATTACTGTGTCCATCGTCACCACCACCGTCTCCATCTCCATCTCCATCTCCAGAACAACTATACAATGCAGTAAAACGCAATGCGATGCAATGTAATGCAATACAATGCAATACAGTTCTTTGGTTGTCTTGCTTTGTCTTGTCTCCGGCTTGTCTGTAGCCAGCCGTGTTTGCATTCCGTGTGTCTGCGATTGCGGTTGTGGTTGTGGTTGTATCCGACCTTTTGTTTGTCGTCGTTGTTGTCTATCGACATGCAGGTCTATAGGTTTCTTGGTCTCCAAGTGTCCAAGTGTCCAGGCGTCCAGGCGTCCAGGTCTCTTGGGAACATCCTCAGGTTCTAGGAATCAACAACCCTCCAGGGAGAAGGAGAAACTAGGGACAGCAAGCTGCAATGCAACCTCTTACAACAAACAACAAACCAATTTGGCGTATTTGTCCTCAGAAACCTAACACTAAATGCATACGTCAAAGAAGGGACATTCTCTAGATTGCCTTCGATTAATGTAATGCAAGAACAAAAGAAAAGATACTAAATAATGCAAAGGTATTAATGTCCGCCATCGAGGACGACGGTGACGATGCTGATGCTGATGCTCCGTGTGAAACCCGCCTTGTCCCCTTTGATAAGATGCCACCCACAGACCTGCCGCAAGTCAATGCCACCAGCCAATGTTGCTCCTTTGTTGCGCCATGGTTCATGAATGCGCCTCTGCCTGTGCCTCATAATTGAATGGTGTATGCCGAACCCTGCCGTGGTATCAAAATCACCAGACTCCTTGCTGATCGATAACCTTGGAACATTACCCCAGCCCACCCCATACCTGACCGACTTAGTTCGTTCCCTCCAAAGGGTATTCCTTGTTTTTATACAAATTTCAAAGGTATAATTTGTTGATCACCGTGCTCAACCATGACAGACGTGGCTGTTCGTTGAGCAGCGCGGATAGTGACGGATTTCCCGACTTTCTTTTCTTGGGCCTGGCCGTCCTCGCAGCTATACACCCGAGTAGATAGCTCGACATTCTACCCCAGGATCGTCGCTGATCGACTTCTTTGGTAGAGGGCTTGCCACCATTAGGAACACCCTTCACACCACGGTCACTTCGAGTCAGGACCTCCTTCACCAGAGGTCGGCAAAAGGTCTGAAGCCCATGCTACATGACGTATCGTTCCTGTCGATTGTCCTGGACAGCCAGTGGCATTGAAGTCCAATCAGTCGGAAGCGATATGTGGGTAGCCATATGAGGCTGACGAGGTCGAAGACCATAATCTTCGGGCTCCGTGCTCTGAGGTCTTCGAATCGCACTTCCAGGATAGTAGAGCGAATGCCCACCATAGGCTGGTTCTGGGTAACCGTAAGTCTCCAATGAGGCTGGTGTTGGCAATGATCCGCTACCAGGCGACCCCCATGCCAGGGCTCCCAAGTGAGGAGACGTACTGCCACTGCTGGTGCCGTTGGCGGGAGGCTCCAGAGGTTGAGGTGGTCCATACGCTGGCGGATGAGATGTGACAGGTCGCTGTTGCGGCGCACTCGTATATTGCTGGAGGGAGTGGCTCGTTAAAGGTGGTGTCGAGCGGGGCAAGTTTGGCCCAAAGTCGGTCCGCATATGAGGGGGTAGGGAATGAGTTTGGGGCAAGAATCCATAGTCTGAACCTTGACGTTGCATGCCACTGGTCATAGGCGGAAGCTCTGAATGCGGTGAAATCGACAAGATTCTATTTGCGGGCGATGCTGTGGAATTCCTCGAGGAGCCCCCTGAAGTCGACTCGTAAATGGACTGGCTCCGAGGATGCGACAGTGCTAACTTCGCATTCACCTCCGCGGCAGCTTGCTCTAGTGTGCCCGTATGTTGGGATTGGTGCTTCGTCAGGGTGGTACGTCTTGTGAAGGTCTTCTGGCAATTGGCAAATGCACACTGGTATGGACGGGCTCCCGCGTGCATACGCCGGTGCCGTGCGAGGGAGCTGGAGTCTGAGAAGGGCTTACGTGCCGAATTAGTCTCTGAGGGTGACTTGGTTGGTATTCAAAACTCACCTTGCTACAATGACCACACAAGTGCGGTTTCTCTCCTGTGTGAACCCTCACGTGCACAGTCAAAGCAGATCGCTGTATGAATGACTTGTTGCAGCCTGGGTGTTTGCAAGCGTGAGGTCTGTCACCGCTATGAATCCGTTCTGTTGGGAAGGTTAGCGCGTTAGCCATGCCCATACAGATGTGGAGGTCTCTCACCGTGTCTGGCAAGATCACTGCGTCGTGCAAACCGTTTCGAGCAGGTCCCGCAAGGAAACAGTTTGGGAGCTGGCTCGCTCTTGATTTGGGTAGGGGGCAAGTTTTCGTCCGAGATGGTGCTCTGGCTGTCGTGCCTTGGCATGTAACCGCTCGCTGCGTACATCTGAGGGCTATTCTGAGGCGGCGCCATAAGACTGTACGGCGTCACATGAGACTGTGGGAGGGATGGCTGGTGGTGAGCCATATCCGAGCCTTGGTCCATGCTGTACGCTGCACCGTCCAGGTGAAGTGATTGCCGAAACCGGGCCAGCTCGTCGCCGCCCTCAGAACGCTTCCTCGAATTGAGGAGCGTCGAAACGTCCATCCCTCCCTTGACTGGAAGAGGTGGCGATGGTGCCAGAACCCGCTGATAGACACCCAGACCCCGAGGATTTGTGAGGCGCTGGAAATTGAGCCCGAGGTGTAATGACTGCATGATTTTACCTGTTAGCAGAGGAATACGCAGACGAAGCAGGAACGGAAGATGGGAGTCGAGGCATTGAAGAACACCTTGGCCTTCAAAGGATCAGTGCTGGGACGAAGAGGGTCAAGGCGCCGTGGAACGCAGACGCTCATGCCTTTGCCCTTCCTGGTCCGGCGGCTGGAATGGTCGAGGGCCTCAATGCACAGTCCCTTGTCCTCACGAGACCACCACCAAGTGTACGGGGCGTTATGGTATCTCACCTAAGGCAGTAGAAGACAATCGACCAGATACTGGAAAGAAAGCACCAAAGAAGGGAAACGACTGAAAGGTGGCAGACGTGTAGCTCCCCGAAGTCCCCCTACACCCAACAGGAATGCCAGCAAAACAAGGGGAGCAGCAATGCTGGTATTCCCTTGGCAACCACCTAATTCTTCTCCGAGACACGTTCTTCGTCGACACCAATAACTCGGACCTCTGTCCCTGTGACGCAAATCTGGGTGGTCTCTGGTCTGGATTGGGCGGCAATGTTCCAGGTCTCGGTCAATTGGTGTTGGCGTGGGCAGATGTCGGAGATATGCTTGTAACGCAAGACTGAAGAGGCCGTTGTCAAGAGGGGGTTCTTGGAGTTCTGGAACTCGAGCTGCCCGCACCAGGCGGTATTTGAGAATGAATGAGGTATGTTTGTATATAATGATAAATTCCAATGCCAACGGAATCGATCCTCTAGAACCAGGGGGTCGGTCCGAAGGTACAGAGCCAGAAGGTCAAGACTGCATTCGATTGTCCTTGTAGGGAGCATTGGAGCGGCGGATGCTGGAGGCGGAAGTTGAGGAGCCGCGAGGTGAAGGGACAGCGATTGTTCTTCTGAATCTGGACTGCACGGAAGAGGACGAGGTCGAAGCGGCGATTGAAGGGAGTGACAGCGATAGGATTGGCAGTTGAGGACAGGAGGAGCCGTGCATCGAGCGCGGTCTCGCGGGGAGAAATGGCAGCAGTAGTGGCAGCAGCAGCAGCAGCAGCAATAGTAACGACAATGTGGAATCGATAGCATAGACGGCGGGAGTACGAGGAGGGCACAGACAAAAATGGTCAGGCACGGATCGTCTGAGAAAGGGTCACAAGGGTGTAGGGACGAACGCTTGTTTCTTTATGTCTCGAGGGACACTGCCAGAGCCAGCTGGAGTCGCAGAGACAAGGAAAAAGGCAATTCAAGAATTCAAACACATCATGACTCTTTAGAAGGGTGTTTGAAGCCACTGTAGTCGTCGTTAGGGACAGTGGTCTGCCAAAAAGTTTGAGGCGTTTGCTGGAGGTGGAACTGAGGGATTGGGATTTTGGGGGAAGAGGAGAGAGAGGGGCCACCTTAACTGCCCAGGCTGCCTTAACTGACTGGCTCGACAGCACCTGGTGGCACCAGCTTTTTTCAACTGCCTCAACTGCCTACCCACCTACCTTAGGTGACCCAAGTGCCTAACTAATTACACATGTATTAATGAACTTGGGGTCTGCCAATCCGAAACGGCGTCGGGTTCCTCGGGCCCTTGCCACGCTTGCTTAGACAAGCTGCAGGGGTGCGCTGCAGGTTCGCAGCCAGCAGCCAAGCGGAGCTTTCTCTGTCTCTGGGTGTCTCCATCCCCGGCCCCAATTCCCTGATGGATCCCCTTTGTTCTACCTCCTCCACCTCCTCGAATCAACCTGGTATTCCAATTCCTTCTAGTTCTCCCCCTTCTCACACTTTGCGTTCCTACTAAGTTAGACTCTGGCAAATGAGGTGTGCAAGGGTATACGGGTACCGACACTGACATGGACGATGCTCTCCACCAAAACCCAGTCCCTGCATGGCGTTTGAACTCTATGGCCCGTTTCCCTCACCTCATACCTCCTCCGTGTACCTCATACAACTACGGTTCCATGATGATGAGACTGCATAACCCTTCAACTTGCTCATCTGGGGGCATAAACCCATGCGCACATGTGTCTCGCTTGTTGCTGCTGGCATGGCATGGCATGGGCCTAACTCGACCAAGGTAATCACCTCTTTGGGATCTTATGCGATTGATAACACTCAGAGAGATCGACCGTCATCTACCGAGATCACGAAATGACCCCTCCTCCTGTACGAGTAGCTCCTCATCCTTCCTCCTCGTCGACTTGCCGGCTTGTAAGCGAATACAAGCTTGTCAGCATTGACAGACAGCATGGTCTGAGAGAGAGGAAGACTAAGACAGCCTTCGCGGCCCAGCAATTGCCTGGATTAGCGGGTTTTCGGTACCTGTCAAAATGTTCTTGGTTCGCTGGAGTTTGGCGATGCGATGTCCTTGACTTCGGCTTTGTCTAATTCAACATGTCTCTCGTTCACTAACCCATGCCAGAACAACTACGAAGTACCAACTCCCTCCAAAATCCAACCTGTTTCCTCCGATCAAAACAAGACCGGCAAGTTCCTCCTCCCCGGAAAGGGTTAGACCAAAGCGTGGGTTTCCGATCCTCTTTGTCTGATCAGAGGAGACTCCCGGCGGCGATCTCTTATGCTGCTTGTGCAAGAAATCCTTGACCAGGCACGAGTATGAGGTATTCGGTATGCACGTTCCAAATCCCATGTCTCGGCGTCATTGCTCGTGGAGCTTACCTATAGAGGATGAGCCACGCGTGCATCACTCAGCAGGAAGGAAGCTTGAAACGATGCACATGCGCATCCTGTGGAGCGACGCACTCACCAACGGTTCCGCACCAGTCTCTCGCACCAACCACTACTGGGGAGCTGATGAGCACAAAGACCAAGAGACCAGATCCCCAGGTTTGTGTGTGATGTATGTTAGAGGCCTGAATTGGATCGTCGTCATCAACCGACATCCAAAAACCGAATATGTCAGCACTACTTGAGCATGTTTGTCGTATACAGCTTCTGGAGAAGAAACAAAGAAGAAGGTTGGAAAAAGTCGATTGAGAATAGTTCCGCCCTCCGCCCCCGATACCCCGTTTCCGACATATTTATCCCATCATCATTTGAAATTCTTCATATGCTTGATTCCTGATTCCATTTTGTCTTTCTTCTTGGCTGCTGCTCAAAGCCCGGCGCTCATCAGGTGCCAGGCACATCTTTGAAGCAAAAAAAACATCAAAGGGCTCTCAGCTGGACAGGGACAGATGGAGACAACAAAGAGAACTTTGGTCGGGAAGGCTTTTTTTCCTTTTGTTTTTGGTTTGGTCTTCTTCTTTGTACACAGGACACCGATATCCTCAATCATATACCCTTGTATCATAATAACAGATATCCCAAGAAGATGGAACTCGCATGAGCGGCTTTGCAGTCCATAGTCACGTACATTTCCCCTCGACGGCATCGGAGCTGAATGCGAAATCCCCCGTTCGTTTCCCCTTCATTCCTTTTCATTCGTTTCAACCTCCGCCAACCAAATGCGCTTCGAAATCCCGTGTTCCTTTTCGCGAGAGCACTCCAAAAGTGAAAAAGACGCTCCTTATTCCCCTTGGACGTCGTTTGGAGGAAGGGGGAAGAAAAACTCCCGTGTAAACACTCGGCTGGAGTTTCTCAACGTCTGTACTTCTTCATACTGGGGCGACGTGGTGCTCGTAGCAATCGCCCTCATCCAAGAGAGGGTTTGCCGCCTCATCTCCTCCTTGTCGGACACATTGCCATACCTCATCCCTCCCTACCTCTTAAACATGGCCTGCACGTCCTCTTTTCTCCAGTCAATATCTAGACTGCCCTCGTAGACTCTGTCCACGATTGTCTTCATCCGGTCGTGGGCGTGAGAGTATCGTACTGCACATTCTTCAAACACCCGCGCGATCAGATCCTTCTTTCCAGCCCTCTCGAGGGTTGTCGACGACGGATCGTCCGCATCAGTGAAGTGCTTTTCGATCCTCTTCTTCAATGTCTCCACGCCCTTTCGGACCTCTTTCGCGTCATAGCTGCCGAGAATCTTCTTGGCTGCGCTGCGTGAGTGGGATGGCTTGTTCGCAATCGACGTAAAGGACGAATCGTTTCCCTTCATGAGCGCTTCGGTACTCTCCAAGAAATCAAGCCATTTGCCCAGTGGCCGTCGGATCACAGCATCTGTGTACTGTGCGAGATGGGATAGTTGATCGCGCGACGCCCGTTCCACCCATTCTTCGAGCACCGCATTGTTGTGTGTCTTCACTTCCTCAACAAAGAAGTTCATGTTCTCGATCAAGAGGATATGATAGTTCAATGCCTCTTTGTCTTCGGGGTCCCCGCTCAGTGGTACATTCGAAGGGCCAGTCGTTGTCCCACCAGAAGAGTTTGCGGCCGGATTGTCTTTGGCGATGAAGTTGAGAGACTCCCACATGGCTTTCAGAAGTTTGGTGTACGCGTCGTTGACGATGAAGCGCACTTCAAGGGACTCGTGGTGTGCAAATTCCTGAGGAATCATGTCCTCAACCACGGCAATAAAATCGGGGAAGATCCTCATGAAAGAAATCAGACCTTTCCTCTTCTTGACCTTCACCTTGGTTTCCTCAATCGCCTTGACTTGTTCTTCCACAAATCTATTGAAGAGACCCATCAGGCGTTCATGAAGGGTTCTCACTGTCCGCGTGATGAATTCTTGGTTCGTTTCCTCATACTTTGACAAGCACTGTTCGAGTGAGACCAGGACGCCAATGCCCTGCAATTGATCCATCTTGAAGACCCATTCCATCAAACCCTGAAGGTCCGTGGGCCAGAACGAGTAGATCCCTTCTGTGGTGCGCTGTACGATCTTGGCCAAATTACGATCTGGATCGTAAGCTTGTTTGGCCTGCAAGTTGGGCAGCTTGCGCTGTTCAGGAGGTCGAGATTGCACTAGTTCCATAAAATCCTCGTTCGACTGTGAGTTCAGATGGAAGAAATGTACAATGAAATTCTGCTCTTCCGAAATGGCTGTGGCTTGTTGCTCTAGGACAGTGTCGAATACCGCCCAAGCATCGGGTTTGCCGTCTCGTCTTTCGCCAACCGAATGTCTCATAACACTTGCCTTGACTGCTCTGCCACGTTTAACCGTGAGCTTGCGAGCTGCCGTGGAAAGATTGGACTCCTCTGCCTTCTCTTTCTCTTGATGGGTGAAAAGGATTTCCTGCTCCTCTCCCATGGGGTGCCTGACAGTCTTTCTCAGACCCATGCTGAAGTCTCGGAACTGGTCTTGGTAGATGCTCTTGACATTGATTTCGTAGCTGCCAATTAAAGTCTGCCATTCATACTGGTTGACTTCCCGCACAAAGAGCATCATAGCATTGTAGACCCAAAGCTCTTGTCTCGAAGCGTTGAGAGCCCGTAGGTTGAGCGTGAAGGAGGATGTCCCGGAAGAAATGCTAATGCTGGCATTTTCCTCGCTTGTTCGCTGCTCAGCCAGTTGGAACATGGCCTTCATGTGCTGGTTGAAGCGGTTGACAAACATCATGCTCTCATCCTTGTATTCCTCCTTCTTCTCACGCACCGCTCGCATCTTGGTGAGGTCCGCTTCGGCATTCGTTGGAAGTCCAGTGCGGTTGCTTGCTGTGGTTGCTTGACGGAGTTTGTTTTGACGCAGGTCTGGATCGATTGTCAGCATGGCTCTGTAGAGCAAACTCAGTGCACGCTCGACTGCGTGGACGCCTTCGAAATTGTCGATCGGCGCTTGCCGTAGAGCGCGAAGATCTGAGGGTGATATTGTCAATGTTCTCAGGAGATTTTGCAACTCAGCCTGCAGCAACTTCTGATTGGCAGTTTGCACTTGCAACCCCTGTCCTTGTGCCTCGATATACTCGATATCTTCATGGAGAGTATCGAGCTCATGGGCATACAAGGTCAATAACCCGTCAAGCTCTTCACATTCGGCAATCGCTTTTTCGAACGCTTTTCCGAGCTCCTGAACTTTGGTCTCCTGGTGTTCGACATGGCCGAGCCAGCCACTCGCTTGAGCACGGCCAATTTCCCTTCGAATGTCGGTCTCGAAGTTCTCCAAGGCATGGTCTTTGGCAAGTCGCCCATCCCAAGAAAATTCTGTCAAGATTTCGTTCAGATCTGCTCCGCGGCCCTCAGTGACCCGTGGATCAATGCCTAAAGCTGTGCAGTGCTTCTCAACTTCCGCCTCCAGTCTTTGCCGACGTTTCCTTTGTGGCGAAGAGGACCGGCCCTTATCCGGCGACTCCGCACTCGGTTCTTCCTTTGGAACCTCAGGCTCGGCCGGGAGAGGCTTTTCTGCTGGCGTTTGCGGTCTGGCGACGCTGTCTGAGGTAGCAGAACGCTCAACCTGAACTCGAGGAAGAGGCTCACTAGACACAACCTTCGGTGTCGGCTGATCCTTTTCATTTTCAGTGTTGACCGGATCAGGTGTTCCGCTTCTTGGGCCATCCGAGCTCATGCCTCTCTTCAAAGGCGCCGGGACAACACTGGTTATGCCATCGGGCTCGTTGGAGAGTTTGTCCTGCATTGCCTTTAATCGCGCACCTGCACCGCCTTGGCGTGGTTGAAATGCACCTGCGGCAAGGGCAGCTTTTCGGAATTGGTTCGCGATGTCCTTACCAGACCTCTTCTTGATCATAGGACCAAGGCCGGGGCGATGCTCTTCTTCAGCTTTTGGAGGGGCTGGAGGCTCGAGTGGCTCTGGAACAACGGGCTCGTTTGGAGTTTCGACGGGTTCGGGCTCTGACGTAGTTACTTCTGTGTACACAGTCTTTGGTGGCACGACGTCGTTTGCTTGTGACTGCTTGTTCTCTGTCACGGCCTTCTCGCCCACAAAATAGTCCGTTTTCTTCTGTGACTGCTCCTCTTTCATCGTGGACGGCGTCCCCGCCGGTGTGACAAATGCGCTGTTACTCTGACTCGTGGGAGCTGGTTGTTCGGGTTTGAGGTCGGGCGCAGCTGCCGCTGGCTTCTTACGCTCAGGGAAGAGCTCAAAGTCAAGTGCTGGAAGATTGGGAGGAGGTTCGGGCGCAGGGACCCTGCGATCGCTCGCTGCCGTGCTCGGCCTTGAGTTGTTCAATGGTTCGCCACGAGGAATATCCCTGTTTAAGTCCTGACCCGGCATGGGACCCATCCTTTTCGGCGAAAAATCTTGCGGACCAGCCTTTGCGACGCTCAATCCGTTGGGCCTTAGAGGTGGCGGCTCGAGGGTAGGATCGGGTCGCTGCAGTGACGATTGAGAGGCTTTGGGACTAATGGAAGGTCGTAATGGAGCTGGTTGGAGGCCGTCCGACAGCGACGGCGTACGGGCGTCATCACGCCTCAGCGGAGGGCCATAAGGTTGTGTGCGAGAGAAGTCCTGTGCCGGTGTACCGCGGTTCGGTCTAGGTGGTAAGCCCAGAGGTCGTTCTTCTGCCTGAGAAGGTAGCGGCACCGCATCTCTTGTCGGTGGACGGTAGTCTGGTCGGCCAAATGTTCTATTTTGTTCTTGCACCTCCATCCGACCACCATCTCGACTCGGAGGCGGCTGTGCGACATATGGAGACTGTGGCCGGGCGGCGCTGAGTGGTGGTACGGGAGCAGGTTGGCTCGCAGCCAGGGGGGGTGGAGGAGTTGGGGATGGGATGATCGGGGAGAAATTGGTCCTCGAAGGGGGAGTATTCTGGGCCGACTGGACACCAGTGATTTGTTGTAGTTCCTGAGGAGCAAATCCTATAAGCTCTGGAAGCTTTCCTCCCGTGTACTTTCGGTATATCTTGATCAGACTGGCAATGAAGAAATCCTTCTCTTTTGGTGTGGGGGCGGACCAAAAATAGGGCTTGCCTAGAGACACGGTGAAGCCGGTATTGGACGCCCACTGTTTCTCCATCTGCTGCTGGGGATTCGCGGGAACGAGAGAGGTGTAGGAGATGATTGCGGTCAACTCGTCGAGATTCCATGTCTTGCCGATGGAGAAGGAGCCGTTTGGGTTCTCGCGAGCCTTGTGAACCCTGACCTTGCCGGAGCGTCGGACGGCGACAAGGATGACTCGGTGTTTCTTGTTGGAGTTGGGGGATTCCGGAGGAGGAGGAGAGGAAGGGTAGGAGGCATCTTCAAGCACTCGGACGTGGGTGATATATGACTCGAGTTGCATGCCCTCGGGATCACGCTTGCTGAAGCAGGCGTCGATAATGCGCCGCTTCTCATCTTCGAATCGCGCGGCGCGAGACTGATTGGTGTCTTGCTGGTCGGGTTGCTGCCTCGTATGAGGTCTCGGCTGAGAGAAGTTGTGGTCGCCATTCGAAATGGGCGCAGGCTGTCGAGGCCCAGAGTAGAGAGGTTGCGGTTGTTGCTGATTCATGGTTGGGAGAGTCCAAGGTTACCAACCTCATCTTCCAGAGGGAGAGGCGGAGAATGGTGTGAATGAGGGAGACAAATCACTCATAGCTGCCCAAATATACCCAGATGAGACGACATGGCCTTGCCCCAAGGTTGTTCGTGGTGTGGGATTTCAACTCCAACCGAACTTGTAGAACCCTTCATGCCAGACAAATCGAGACGTGTACCAGAAGGAGAGAAGTGATACAAGTGCGCATGGCATTGGCGAGCACGGAAAGCCGCCAGCCGCCAGCCGACAAGCCCCCAGCTGGTGCCAGCGGTGCCTGCGGTGCCAGTGGTCCGCCGTGGGCCCAAGCCTAAAACGAGGTTGGGCGGCCAAGCCCCGACCCCCCCCCCAGTAGCCGTTAGCCTCCGAGTACAGTTAGACTCGATGCCGTCCGCAGGCTCCTCCTCCTGACCCTGAACCTCTACCACCTGCTTGGACGTAGAGGCAGACGACCTTATAGCCTTGTCCCAGCATTACTCTACAGACCGGGAAGAGAAAGAACCCTTCAAATCGGAGGGCAGCAAACGAAGCCGCAGAATTGGCCTTTGACCCGATTACATTGCTTGTCATACACGTCTCGTTAGGCCCAACTTCATAGTGCCTGCGCCTGCGCCTGCACCTGCATTGGGTATAGATGGGAATGTAGCTTTTCGGCTCCTATCCTATCCTATCCTTCCTACTGCACTCCTGCTTCTCGTCAAGCTGAAGAGTGTTGACAATGACTTGAAACCTTTGAGCATGCTTTCACTGGCTGCACAAATCACTTCCGACGTCTGAGGCTGCGCCTGGTGCCTGGTTCAGTAGGACCCTCCATGGTATTGTGAGATCCCTTCACTGGTCCTTTTAGAACGGCCTCAAGAACAGCCCCGACCTGTGCCAGACCAGTGGTTTGGCCCCATTCAACGACGTTGCGGACAAATGTGCGAGGCAGGAGGTAATGTTCAGGGCGGTAAGCCACGAGTCCATCGATTTGTTGGGTGTAGTGTTTCCCACTTCCTTTCTTCCACGAGACGAAGAGGCGGGCTTCACTCCCGGCCTTGGCCATGCTGAAGGCGGTGGTGTCCACGGGCGGAACGGTTGACCTGTTGAGCCCATCGACGTATCTGTTCAGCTTTTCTGCCATGTTGACACAGGCTGCTGCCACCCCGAGAGATTATTTTGTTGTAGCCCAAGCTGCTCGTTGTGTCTCCGGATGTGTCGCCTGTGAATTCGACCACGAAAAAAGGATAGATGAGTCTTAGATTTTTGGCGGTATAGTCGGTATGGGTCATCCTCATCAATTGTGTTTGCTGGTTGGTTGTAAAGGCATCCCAGGTGTAACCGTAAAGGATGTCCGGCTACGGCTGACTTAGTCGAAGGCCGATCCTCGGATCGATTAAGAGAGGAACATGCTCTTCGTGCATGGTGCATGCTTCATTCACGGCAATTTGACCCTTGAATCTACTTGAGGTCAACGGATCTTCGGCAATGCGTGTTCTAAAGTGATTTTTCACCACGGACTCGGCGCCGTTGACATCGGTAAGCTGCGATGGATTCGCCACATTTCTGATTTAGCTTCAATTTCCAGCTCTTGAGGCTGACCCTCCTGAAGCACTTTACTCACAATGCTTCAAACATTCTTTGGGACTGTCTCGTTCATGCCGCGCAAGTGGATGCCATGACTTGCAAGGTCGAGTTGCCGGTACCCAGAGTTTCCAACGAGGTGAGACGAGATGATACGGGAAGGTCCCGAAGGCGGATCTTATGAGGCAGACTCTGCGCGCATTGCCAGACCAATTTTGGCCGGTTCTTCCGTGGGTTGGAACAACTGGGAAATCCGAGCCTCGTGACTATCCGACTCGGAATGGTGTTTCCGGTGTTCGTCCAAGGATTTGAACCAAGCATCAACGTACGGAGTGTGACGGTGACGAGACCTTTTGGGATTGAGAGATGAAGCGAGCTCTGGAGAATGCACTCGTGGCCAAGGAGGGTCTTCCGCCTGCACTTCCTTCAATGGCGATTTCATGGAAACAAGTCGAACCATCCTCGAAGGACGAGGCATTTCGACTCAGGCAGTTTGCACGCAGTATGAGTATGTGATGGCATCCCATGAGGCTGGGCCGCAAGGAGAGCAGAGAAACCTTTATTATAGGCATATTGACGACGGGCAGATAAGTGAAGTGTGTTTTGGATCTTTGTTGATTGAGGTACATGGTCCTTGCAGACGTGTACATACAGACCTGAGATCAAACATGCTAATTTACACTAAAACGCTAGTCCTATAAAGGGACTAGCTCTCATAAGACCTGCATCTGCATCTCCTCATCTGTACAAGTGGGTAAATACATAAGAGCTCTGATTGGTCTCGTGATGATGACGGGTGCCTCAACTGTGCAAATATTTATAGTACCGAGTACTTGGAATAAGTACAGTCTACTCCGTACCTCCTCCGGACAAGGTACTAATGGTAGGTACTTGGGAGGCTGAGAGAGTGGAATATTAGTTGCCTAGATCGTCGCTTCTAGAACATGGGGTAAAATGCGTTCTTTCTAGCCCCCTACCAGCGTAACCCGAGGCGTGAGATGGCCATCACGGAAGGTCAACTTGACCAAAATAGGTACGAGGGTATTGTAGCTTTCCATTTTGGCAAGTCGGTCAATCATCCTAATCCAAGTGGTCTCACAGATCACCCTCACTCTTCCCTCTTGCCCTTGAATGCCCTGGTCTTTGTCTGTCCTTATGTGTTTGACGACCCTGATATCGTCTCGCTGTACCCATATCAAGAGCGAGAGAAGAAGGAAAAACCGGATAGATACAGCATTTCAAAAGGCCCAGCCAAAAAAAAAACAAACATCTTCCCGTTCTAGACAGACAGTGGTGGACCTTGACTGTCCACCGTTCGCCTCGCAAAAAACCGAATCCTCTTTCCGTATGACGCCAGGCTGAAATGGATGTAGTACACACACAGAGTATCGTGGTCATAACTTGCCGCAAGAGACAACCCTGCTCTTTGCGCCCCTAAACTCAGCCGGATCCAAAAGATATCCCTATTCAATGCTTCGAAACTATAGCAGCTCCAACTCTTTTCTCTTTCACTTGCCAAACAATCTTTCGCTGTTCTCCACCATCCACATCACTGCTTCATTCTTCATCTTGGTGTCACTAAGCTCGCGATTTAGACTCTCCGGTCGCATGATGGTTGGTGCGAACACCACTGCGATGTTCATGCTCGTCATGAGATTCTCTTTCTCCTGTTCAACCACCCGTGCAAGGTGCCGAATCAGATACTCCAGGGTCTCAAGATGGACTTTGGGCAAGTCCTCCAAGGCTCGCTGCATGGCGTCGAGTCTGAGCTCCTTACTTTCAATCGTCGTGGTATCGAGAAGTTTGTCGTAGACGTCGAAAGTTATGAGTGGGGTGGGCAGTCGTCGGAAATACTGTTTCAGCCCAGAGGTCACGGCGTGGATGTCGAGATCGGGATCAGAAAGATCAAAGTCCTTCGAAGGGTTCTCGAACCAATCTTTCACTTGTTGCACCTGTGAGTTACCCCCAGATTTTCGGTAGATGCCTTCAACATCCATACCTGAAAGAATATCAGCGCGGTCGGATCAGATATTTACGGCAGGCCTTACCACGCGACTCCACTTCTTCGACACACCTCTTCACAATCGCAGGAACGGAGGTCTTCTCATATTCGGCCCGGTGTTCGAGTTCGGACCCAAACAGTTCTGCTTTCAATGTTAGCCGGAGTACAACTGAGTAGAGGACAAACTCCTTACGTGCGCCAGCCTCAGCCAGTAAAGATGGTGTGCTCGCATTAGCTTGCGTGGCGTACAGTCCATTGGATTTGGGAGTCACTTTCTGAGTGCTGAAGAACCCAAAGCCACTTTGCTTGACAGGTTCTGGGTTGGTTCTCGGCAGACTAGAGTACTCCTGGGGAGGGCCAGTGGTCGACCCATAGGCCCCTGTCTCGGCAAACTGAAGGTCCCGGCTGTAGTTCTGTTGAGTTGACGAAAAGGCTCCTTTCAAACCTTTCGTGACACCTTTGGCAACCTTCTGTCCTTTTCTCCAATCAAATTTCTTTGGTTGGCCTTTGCGGATGTTCACCATCTGAGGACCTTGCAGGACGGTCACAGGTTCTGCTTCCCCTTGTAAAGTACTGGTCGAATCGATATTGGTCAAGTCGGCGGACATGTTGCGCATTTCCCTCGAGTCGAAGGACACATTCGACTTCTCTTTGTGGTGAGAGTAGATTCCAAGTCCGTTCATGGCCGACTTTGGCTGATCAGTGTCCTTGCCCGAATTGGCCTTGTACAGACCTTGGATCTGGTGTACCAGCTGATTGTTAAGTTCAGCCAACTGGGCATTTTTCGAAGACAGCTGCTCGAACTCCATGAAGCTCTTATCTTTCATCTGAGTTAGATTGGCTATCTCGTCGACCAAATCATTTCGCTTCTGGATTGAGGCTTCGATCTGAGGCGCGAACGAGTCCTTGAGCTTCTCCAGTGCCTCTGCAAAATCGCGAAGCACAACGTTGCTCAACTTTCCAAGGTCGAATCGCTCGCCGCTGTGCTTTGCAGCCGCTAGATGTTCCGTGAGAACTTCCAGCTCTCTTATGACAATCTCTTTTTGTGTATCGAGGACGACTATCGTTGATCTCTTCTCCTTGAGCTCAACATTCACCTGCTTGATATTTGCGGCTGAATCAAGCTGCATTTCCAGTTCAGCGATCCTCTTCTCCCGTTCAATGGTTCTCTGCCGCTCACGTCGTAGCTCATTCTTGAACCAAGCGAGTTCATCACGATTCTCGGGAGACGCTGTGCTGGGGCTGCTGATTTCCTGGCCAATTGACGAGATCGGCATAGCGGGCGATCGAGGCCAGCGGTCCTTGGACAGTCGACCCGTTTTGTCACTGTAACTGCGACCATGGCGAACAGAGTTCGAAACCCTCCTAAGGAAGGACTCATGCGCGCTGGGTTCCTCGCCGGCCATTATCCGGGCCATGTCCTCGTCCATAGTGAACTCTCCGCCTGCCGAATACCTGGGCAGACCTGGAGACCTGTAGCCATCTCCAGATCGCTGGTTCTCCGACTGAAGAGTGCTAAAGGACTCATTTCTCGACCTTGAATGATCAAAAGGCGGCAGAGGTGGCGCTCGGGGGTCAACGAAAGATTCATTGCCCGTCTTGCCGGTGTTGTGAAGATCGTGAATCAGAGAATCGTCTACCGCCGCATCGAAGATACCTTTAGAGTTCGGAGAACCTATGGGGCCAGAAATGATCTTCCCACCATTTGCCTTCGCGAGATCGGCCACCGGTTTGGGAGTAGATGAGCCACTGTTCATGCTGCCACCTGACGGGGTACCAATGTTTGCCGCGGCGCCCAATTCCTTACGCGGTATGTTTTGAGTGCGCTTCGCGCTGTCTAAAGAGTCCCCTCGTTTAGGCAGGTTCTGTAGGATCGAGGTCGCGGGTAACTGTGCCGGCTTGGGAGAACCGTGTGAACCACTGAATGCTGGACTGGAGTCGTTCGAGAGCATGGGCGTCGAGAAGTCGCCATCCGAGGGTGACCCGATGTCCGGGGCAGTCAAAGGCTTGGTGGCTAGTTGGTCAATGGGGTCGGTAGAGATGTCGGCTTTGGGAGTCGACCCCTCTGACCGTGATCCCGTCGAGGTTGAAAACTTCTTGGATTTTGGTGCTTCTTGAAGTTTGAATCTGTCATTGTGTTGCACTTCGTTGGTGTGGACGATTTGCGACAGCCGTGGTGAACCCTCCGATCTCTTCGACTGCTCTACCGGGATATAGGGTGATGCGTTCGCAGACCCCGAAATGCTCAGATTTCCTCTACGAGTTTGGTCGACAGCTTCTCTCGATGGAAGACGCCCTTTCTCTTGGTAGGCAATATGGGGACTTGAGGTATTGGACTTAGTAACGTGTGACTGGGCACTTGCCGCGTTGGATTTGCTGGTGAAATAATCCGTGGACTTCTCCTCGATAGATCTTTGGGTTGTTTGGTTTGATATGCTGGGCGATTCGGTCGCCGGTTGTGGGGTAGGGTCAAAGGCAAGCGGGATCAAGAATTCTTCTCCCCCACCACCACCTGCTCCACCAGATAAGTCTGATCGTTGCGACATCACAGAATGTCG